GGGGTCCTGATAAATAATGCGGTATGTTTCACTTGGATTCACACGATGCGCAGTGTCTACCAAGTGAGCGCGAATCGCACTTGTGATAGATCCGGAACCACCATAACTCAGCCAGCACAGATGGTGTTCTTTCATGCGTTAGATAACTGCCGTGTCGTAAGACCGACGTAGAGTGCGTCACAAACGCATCTGAACGAGGGGGGGGGGTATCCGACTGACATGAAGGGAATGTGTGGGAATTATTTCAAAGAGGGAACACTTGTAAGGAAGAAATAAGAAAAACGACCGTTTGGTGATAGGTGACAGATAGTACAGAAAAGTACAAAACGTTATTAAACTACACCATTCAGTTATTTTGGTAGAATAAGGAGTGAAAAAACATCAAACGAACCGGAAACGGATTTATCAACTTAAATCGAAGTGTTGATTGCGTAAGTTTCACTGTAGAAAATGCACTCACCTCCGGAAGAAACTCCCTTACAAGTAGGATGTACTGGAGATAAAGGATGAGTTTGCTTTTACAAGCAATATTCTAAACTAACGGGTACAGAGTGTTGCATGAAAAAATTCTCCATATATTAATAAACAGTTTAGTGATCACGGTTTACGTGTCATCGTTCAAGACAATCGGAACTGATTGATTAACTCTTATATGGCATCTTCCACAACTCTTAGGTATGTCGATCATTCAAAACGTGTCTTCGGCAAATATGCCGATGAAATCGCCTTGTTGGGTGATAATACACAACACGTTTGAACCACTTGGCGATAGAGGTATCCAATTATGGTATGTGCCTTGCATCATCCAAGTGTAAAGTGCTTGTTCAAGATTGGCAAGAGCTTGCACTAGCATTCTGTGGTGATTAAGAGCTTTAAGTGCAATGATTGCAACTGAAGGCGGTGTTGGGACGGAGATCACATCACGAATAACGAAATTTAGAGTAGGTTTTGTCAACTTGCGATATTTGTGATACCGCCATGACATCTGATTGTAGAGATATGATCCAGAGTAGAAGCCAGCGGCGCAAATGCTGGACGATCTACATAGTGAAATCCCGTGCCCCGTAAAGAAAAGCGATACCTCCCCCAGTCGCCTTTTTTACTCTGTGGGCTGATTCACATTGATTGATTTGACTGACTATCCTTCGGACCTCTCATTCATGCACAATGATCAGTTCATCGTTTCAACCATACACTCGCGGAAGCAATAGACTCGAGTTTCGCTCTCTCATGAGAGCTCATCATTAGTGCCTATCTACCGTCCTGTCCGGGCTTTGAAATCCGAACCTATCGCATGGAAGGTGTGTGTGTGTGTGTTACCACTGTGCCAACCAGCTCATGCCATGGCTGAACCAAATTGTCAATTCATGTTTGTTCCGGGTGTCGTCTTCATTGATTGTCAGTCAGTTCATTACTGGCTCGACAGTAACGAAGGGAGACACAGATGAAAACCGAAAGCCCTCACCAAGTCAGGACTTCCATACAGGGTACGGGCTGACCAGCCACATACCTACAAGGCTTTGAAATTTTCTTTCGATTGCATATTGTACAGTTTTTGGAATTCCCGATCAGGTCACGTTGTGTTCTACGCCCATAAATGATTCTTTCATCCACGAACTTGACGAATTATTAACATTTTTTTACATTCCGATATCCATACAAATATATAAAAAGGTAATAGTGTACCATTTTTTATTGCACACTTTCGTGTGATCG